TCTCTCTTCCTACTGAGCTATTTTACATTGGGACCCAATGCTACACAATTCTCAAAACATCTACTCTTAATTCCTCATGAATTCCCAAAACTACTCCTCAAAGCATATGAGCCCCCACTTAAGATCTTTTGACAGAATCTGCTACTCAAATACCCTTATCCTAGCCACTTCAATCTAGATCTCAAAAAGTCCACTACATCACCCTGATCAACAGCCCATATGGCAGCCAGTAATTAAATTGTTTCTACCAAGTATTTATATTACAGTTATAGACTTAGGGATAGAAATACGTGAAAAATCAAATTATCCTTTTTGGCAAATTCTTTAATATTTTACTTCTTTAATAATTCCTGGAAAATCAAAGAAGAAAACCTTACAATTTACAACAAAATTCATGATTCATTCAACTTAATCTCCTTTACAATTTATGAATCAATGTGGTTGCAATATTCAGAACATTGCTTACATGTGCCAATGCAAAACATATCTAGAGACTGATTGGTATCAGTGGTTTAGTGGGCGAACAATATTATCCCATAAGCTTAGCCTATCAAATACTAAGACAATAACAAAGAAACATGGGGATTCATCAGGAATTCTGATCTTACTTTCCTACATGTTGACATAGGCTCATCTGAATAAAAAGGAGGATAACCCACAAGCATTTCATACATGATAGCTCCAAGTGACCACCTGTGGAAAAGGTTTAAAAGATATGTTACATAAAAATATCTGCTCAAACACAAGAATTCCCAACATAAACATACTTACCAATCACATTCCATTCCATAGCCCTTTTTCAGCAAAACTTCAGGGGCAATATAGTCAGGTGTACCAACAGTAGAATAAGCCTGCAATATTTAAATATCAACAGCTTAGACAAATAATGTATGCAGCCACAAGGAATCATAAAAAAAAAAAAAAGTTTGTTATGCCACATCTAGATCTAGTATGAACAACTGATACACAACACCCGTATATAAAAGTACAAATTTTTTCCAATGTTTTAAAAATGACCTGAAAAAAGAACCGCTTTTGCCTTCCGGATCAGCAGTTCAACCATCTGGTTTGAACAGGTTGGCCCATGATGTCATAACCAACATAATAGAATATTTAGAATATAAAAAACAGTTATAAGCCCAAGGACCATTATCTGTGTCATGGTTTGATGGCTAGTCCACCTGGGTCAGCAGTTCATGGACCAAATCAACAGTTTTTTTGCGAAATAATAGACTAGGTGGTAAATAGACCCAGAAAGGTGGCCATTTCCCAGGTTGCACAGTTCAACCGCCAGTGGTTCTGCTTACCACCTAGCAAACATTAGTTTTTTCAGACATAGGAGAAATATCATGAGAATACAAAAACATAAGCAACAATTCCTTTATACTCCCTTAAGCAACAACTTGTTTTTTGATACACAAAGTGACAGCAGACTCTGTACAATAATGGATTGTTGAGTGAAGGAACAACCGAACAAGATGGTAAGGAATTTACCAGCATCCTTCTATTTCTTTGCCAATGCTGTAGTTGCTCCTGTTGTGTACGCTTTGGTGCAGCAGGGCGTTCATCATTCACTGCCCCATTAATATTTTGTCCCACATTAAAATCATTTTCCTGGATAGTACTGCAATCTAATGGTTTGCATAGTCCAAAATCTGAGAGCTTCATGTGGCCATGTCGATCAAGCAATAGGTTGTCAGGCTTGATATCTCTGTAACATGTGCCAGACAGGAATAACCATTCTGCTTTAGTCAGAGGACAACATTTGGAAGTTTAGCAATAGGATATCAATAATCAAAAAATACATAAAAAACACAAACCTGTGAATGTAATTATGTTTGTGGATAGACTCAATAGCTAGAACTGTTTCTCCTACATAAAATCTGGCCTCATCTTCAGTTAAGGTATCTTTTCGCATAAGTAAAGTCATCAAATCTCCACCAGGTAGATACTCCATGATGAGATACAGAAACTCTTCATCTTGGAAAGAACAATAAAGTTTGACAATACAGTTGCTGTCAACTTCTGCAAGTAGATTTCGCTCAGCCTTAACATGTTCAACCTGAACAGATTTAAAAGCAAATTGCACCTAAGCATAAAGAGAAAGAAGTCCAAAAAGATCAATTGGCAGTTCAGGAAATTGTATACCTGGCCTCTACGAAGCATCTCTGACTTTTTAAGTTTCTTCATTGCATATACATGGCCCGTTGTCTTCTCCTTACAAACTCTCACCTGTCAAGAAATATTATAGAAAATACGAAAAAGACAATTAAGTGATCATTGACAAACAAGGATTTTAAGAGAAACAGGTACCGATAAAGCATTTGCATATGATACATGATGCAATGCATAAAATCTAGAACTTAATTAACAAGCCATCTAGAATTATGAGCATAATTATGCTTCCATGCTAGGGGTGAAGGATGTCATCAGAGATTATTTGCTCAAAATGTGAGATGAAACAATTTTATTATAATTTTCTCACATTTTCAATCACAAGATCACCATCTAAAATGAATCCTTTCCCAGACATAAAAATATTTGATCCGATCTATTCCTAGTATATGGTTTAATTCATTATCTATGTATATTTTGTAATTCAGGGTGGCACCTTTTTGTCATATGTTAATACAAATACATACATGATATACACCACTTATCGAAAAAAATTCATTTCAGGTTTTTGAGAAAATGAACTCATTTTTCCTTTAGCAACCATAAAAGAATCCTTTTCAAGTAACACTAGTGAGAACTCAAATATTGTGCCAAACTGAACTGAAGTAATTTATTCAATGTTGCCAATATATATTGACAACCAATAAAATGACTAGGAGGCATAATAAATGCCAATAATTCTTGTTGTACTTTCACTATATGTGCTGCAAGGGCATTCTGGTCATTTTACTGTATTTTGTAAACAGCACTCCTATTTTACTGTTTTTTCTCATTCTATTTCTGATAAGTGATAACAAGGTATCTTTGTGTTTTGTATCAAAGCCCAGGAGAAAACCTATTGGACTGATCAGAGACCATTTTTGGAGGTGTTTCCTTTTTCTCTTGGTTGAGTGCCAAGAAAAGACTGTAATCGTGGTATCTGGATGTTATGAAGAAGGTTTGATCTCTACTAACCCCTGTTTGTGGATCATGTCATCCCTTGGTAATGTGGTGTGTGCCCTGTTGGGTCTGGTAATGACCTATTTGTACAATGGTAGTTGTTGGTATTTGTGTTGAGATCATGTGACCTGGTTTTGCAAGTAGTTGAATTTTCCCAGGAATGAAAGTAGTCTGGTGTGGCTCAGGTGTAACAGTACCCCCTTGAGGAAGCAAGTGCCTCTAATCCTTCATACGATGTTGATATAGATTTTAGTGGAGTTTTTTTTTCCTTTGGAAATTCAGTGTGTACTGAAGAAGTGTGGTTAAGGTGTTTCTCCAATGGCATCAGATGACTCAACTACGTTTGGTGTGACCTAAAATCAAGGAGGGATTAACATGGTTCAGACAATATGAATTTTCCTATGATCATCACCCTCTTAATGGTAAGAACTATCAGGCATGGTCTAAGGAGATGAAACTTACATCATAACTAGAGAAAAGAGTGGCTACATAAATGGTATAGTGAAGGAACTGAAATCGGGTACTGCTGAACAAGATAAATGTAACCAAGAGAATTGCTTGATTATGTCTTGGCTGCTTACTTCTAGGCTGCCTTGAATTAAGCAGAACTTTATGTGGGCAGATACATCTCATGAGATCTGGGAGCATGCAAAATCCACATACTCTAAACAGACGCACTACGCTATAATTTACTAGTTGCAAGCAGAGTCCTCTACATACAAGCAAGGGGGGCATAGTCTATCTGCTTACTACTACACTCTCACATCTATCTAGAAGGAATTAGCTCAATAGCTAAATACATGGCAATTGAATCATGAGCCGGGATCATAAAGAGCATACTGCGAGTAGGAAGTGGAATTAATACAATGGATTCAGAAGCATCAAACCTCTCTTGTTCGGAAGAATCGAAACACATCGAAATGGTACCAGCCGTACTTAATAATAGAAGGATTTGGCAGAAATATGTAGAATTGTCCCTCCTAAAAAGATCATTGAATGGGAGAGTGATAAGGGTGCTAAGGATTATAAGAACCTTGTGTCTCAGCAACATCTGTTTGCCTTCTTACTTGGATTGAACCCTATTTATGAACCTATTACAGTCCAGATTCTGGGCAGCAAGGACCCTCCTATCTGGAGGTGTATGCTTTGGTCCAATCCGAGGAGAGTAGAAGAAATGCAATGAATCCTCCTAAAGGGGAGTCAATATCCTTAGAAGAAAGCGTCAGTGTGCATGAGACAAGGAAGGGTGATTTTCAGAAGAAAGAAGATGAGAAAGATAAGTTGTGGTACACTTATTGTCAGAGGCCGAGACATACTCATGACAGTTGTTCGGATTTGGTTGGAAAGTCAAAGTGGGCACAGGAGATGAGTAAGAAACCAGCACAAGAATAGAATAAAAACCTGGTCAGAAGTACACCACAACAAATATGGCTTCTCAAAAACAACCAAATAGTTCTACTGTGAGTAAAACTTGGGATCATCCTTTTGGTTCCAATCCCAAGGAGGATTTATAATGCCTTTCGTGATCATTTGGAATTGTACAGTAGGGCACTTGGGCAAATGGACTCCGATGCTAACCCCTCCACCACCTTTGTGTCTACATCAAGTAACACTGCCTCCACCTTCCATGTGTACTCTTAGTCTTTTGAATCTCCATGGGTTATTGATTGTGGGGCCTCTAATCACATGACTGCTAAGTCAACTTTATTTCAGCCCTATACCCTTCTTTCTGGTAAAGAAACAGTGATACTAGCAGATGGGTCTTTCTCTTCCATTACCGGTCGATGATCTATTTCTTTACTATTTGGTTTCTCCCTTTCATATGTGCTTCATGTTACTAATTTGCTCATTACTTTGTTGTTCATTAGTAGTATTACTTGCTCATTAAATTGTTCAGTGACCTTTCTTCCACATTCTTGTGTGTTTCAAGATCTGGACTCCGAGAAGACGATTGGTAGAGGAAACTTGGTGGAATGTAGCAAGTTGGTAGAGAATAATGTTGTTCTTGCGGCTACAGAGTCTACAAGTCCATCTCTTAAGAGTCAAGTTTATTTGTGGCATAATCGCCTAGGTCATATGTCCTTTGAGCCCTTCAAACTTTTGTTTTCAGAATTCTTCCAAGTTCGTATTAGTAACTAAGTTACAGTGTCTTACATGTCAATTAAGTAAACAATGTAGAAATTCTTCTCCTTTAAGCAATAAAAGGTCAGATTTCCCATTTCATATTGTTTATTCTGATGTTTGGGGCCATGATACTCTACCTTCTGAGAATGGTTATAAATACTTTATCACACTCACTAATGATTACTCCCATTACACATGAGTTTACTCGATAAGTTCCAAAGATGAAGTGCCTAAACTTGTGAAAGATTTCAAACGAATGGTATTCACCCAGTTTCAGACTGAGATACAAATCTCCTAGTTGGATGATGCTAAAGAGTAGAGTACTATCATGGTGATCTTGATGAATTTTTTGTTTCATGTGAGTCTCTTCATCGAAGCCCATGCACAAAGACACCTCAAAAAAATGGCGTTGCTGAAAGAAAAAACCGTCAACTCCTTGAAGATGGGTCTCTTTGTACAGCTTCTCATTGCACAAAGACTTAATTGTATTTTGGCTCTTTGTTATTAATGAAATACTTTACCTTATACTTTCACAAAAAATGTCTCCAAGTGTTTCTAGATGGACATTGTTTTGTCTATTATGTATGTCATTAATTGTGCCTTCTCGATTGTTGGATTACAAGGCCCCACATCAGCTCTTATTTCCTAAAACCCTGTTATTCTCTATTCCTATGTGTGTTTTTGGGTGACGTTTTGTCCATGACTTATCCCCTACCCGTGGTAAACTTGATCCCAAAGATATTTCTTTTGTCTTCCTTAGTTACCCTTTGTCTAAAAAAGGTTATAGATGTTTTGATCCCACTCTGCATAAGTACTATGTTTCCATTGATGTGTCCTTTCTCGATAATGAGCCCTTCCTTCCTATTTTTCCTCAAGGGAGAGTAGGGTTGAGGAGAAACTAGTTCAAGTTCAGCTTCCTTCTCTTCTTGATACTCCTCCATTTCATGTCTTTCTCTATCGTCGCAAGGGTCAACAAAGTCCAAGAGCCATGGAGCAACCTTAAGTCATACAACCAATATCATTGGATTCTCCGGAGGCATATCCTCAACCAGATGCTCTTGTTCCTATCATACCTGATCCTATTGCTATTGACACCTCTGTTATTAGTGATTTGGACCTTTCATTGCCAAAAGGAAGGGTGTTAGATCATATACCACCAATCATCCCATCTCACATTATGTTTCTTATGAAAACATCTCATCTTCTTTGTGTTTTCCTTTCTTCTATTGACAATGTCCTATTCCCAAAAATGTAACAGAGGCTTTATCAGTTCCTGAATGGATAGATACAATGAAGGGAGAAATCAATGCCCTACATAAAAATGGCACATGGAAATTGGTAGATATTCCAGAAGGAAAAGAACCAATGGGGTATAAATGGGTTTTCTTAGTGAAGCATAGGGTAAATGGTATAGTAGAGAGGTATAAGGCCCATATAGTGGCAAAAGGGTTCACGCAGGTGTATGGAGTGGACCATGCAGAGACCTTTACCCCTATAGCTAAGATGATTTCTATCAGGGGTCTACTCTCATTAACAACTAACCTAGATTACCTACAACAATTAGACATCAAGAATGCCTTCTTGAATGATGAGTTAGAGGAAGAAGTATATATGGTTCAACCTCCCAGTTTTCATGCTCAAGGCAGTGAGTTGAAGGAATGTAAGTTAAAAAAAAATCTTTATATGATTTGAAACAGTCACTAAGAGCTTGGTTCAATAGGTACCACTTAGTTGTATAACAGATGGATTTTAAATAGTGTCAGTCAAACCATACACTTTTTGAAAAGAGGGGGGAAGGCAAGATTGCCATCTTAATAGTGTATGCTGATGACATAGTGATGATTGGTGACTAGTTTCAAAAGTACAAAGTCGGAAGGAGTTACTAGCTATACAGTTTGAAGCAAAGGATCTAGGGGCCTTACATTATTTCCTTGGAATTGAAATTGCTTGCTCACAAGAATGGATCTTCATTTCACGGAGGAAATATATCCTAG